CTTCCGGAACATGGCCAGACAACTGAGATTAAAAACCAAAAGGACAATGTGTTGTCGAAAGCTTTCATGGCCAGAATCACTGAGCGGCTGTACGTTTTCCAGCCTGTATGGCCATGTTCCAGAAGCATTCTCTCCTGACATTTCACCCACATCTATGGCAAAGGTTGTGAGGTCTGTTGGAAACTAGGCAAGTGGGGTTTATATATTCAGGGTGGGAAAAAGAACTCTTGTCCTGGAGGCAAGTGTGAATGTTGCAATTGGCCACCTTGATTAGTATTGAATGGCCTTGCAGATTCAAGGCTGGGCTGCTTCCTGCCTGGGGGAATCCTTTGTTGGGAAGGGATTAGCTGGCACAACATATTGTTTGAGAACACAGAAACAACCATGAAAATGAACAAATCTGGCTATCAGTATTTTAAAAACTCTAAAATCACGACAGTAAAAAAAAAACAACACTAAAAAAGAAGGGGAAGTCCAGACAATAATAAATCAGGGCCAGCTAACACCTCCCAACAAAGGATTCCCCCAGGAAGGACACAGCCAGGCTTTGAAGCTGCAAGGCCATTCAATGCTAATCTAGGTGGCCAATTGCAACATTTATTTATTTTATTTATTTACGACATTTATATGCCGCCCTTCTCACCCCGAAGGGGACTCAAGAGCAGCTTACAAGATACATATACACACAGTATATGATATTATTAGCATAGTACAATATCAGTATTAGATATTACTATATTGTACTATGCCATTATACTGTAATATTATTAGCAATATTACATGTAAAATAAATATTATTATAATATCATATTATTATTAGTAGTATTATATTGCATTACATTATAATATTATAAACATTATATGTATATACAATATATATTACATTATATTATACTATATTATATTATTAGCATTTGTGAGCCATAACCAGGTAATACTAGTATTATTATTAGTAATATTACATGTAATATAAATATATAATTATAATATCACATTAGTAGTAGTATTATATTGCATTACATTATTATAAATATTATATACAATATATATTACATTATATTATACAATATTATATTATTAGCATTTGTGAGCCATAACCAGGTAATATTAGTATTATTATTAGTAATATTACATGTAAATTAATATTATTATAATATCATATTATTAGTAGTAGTATTATATTGCATTACATTATAATATTATAAATATTATGTATTGTATATGTATATACAATATATATTACATCATATTATACTATATTAGTATTATTATTAGCAATATTACATGTAATATAAATATATAATTATAATATATTATTAGTAGTAGTATATTGCATTACATTATAATATTATAAACATTATGTGTATATACAATATATATTACATTATATTATACTATATTATATTATTAGCATTTGTGAGCTATAACCAGGTAATATTAGTATTATTATTAGTAATATTACATGTAATATAAATATATAAATATAATATCATATTATTAGTAGTAGTATTATATTGCATCACATTATAATATTATAAACATTATATACAATATATATTACATTATATTATACTATATTATATTATTATCATTTGTGAGCCATAACCAGGTTGTTGTTGTTGTTATTATTATTATTATTATTATTATTATTATTATTATAGATGCAGAAACATTCACACCTACCTCCAACAGACAAGAGTTCTTTCTCCCACCCTGGACATCATTCCACAGATATATAAACCCCATTTTCCAAGTTTCCAACAGACCTCACATCTGCCAGAGATGTGGGTGAAACGTCAGGACAGCATGCTTCCAAACATGGCCAGACAGCCCGTAAACCGAGATAAGAACCAAACGGGCAATCAATTAGAAGCCAAGGTTAAAACTGTGAGTGAAGAATGCTTAGACATTATTTTATGGTGCCAAATGCATTACACATTCTTACAACAATGACAGGTCTAAGTCCAGTTGTGCGTCTAAGACACACTGGATCAATGGAAACACAGAGTGATGGAGGGTTTGGTGGGCATTGACCTTGAGTTTTGGAGTTGTAGTTCACCTACATCTTGAGAGCACTGTGGACTCAAACAATGATGGATCTGGACCAAACTCAGCACAAATACTCAATATGCCCAAATGTGAACACTGGTGGAGTTTGGGGGAAATAGACCTTGACATTTGGGAGTTGTATTTGCTGGGATTTATAGTTCACCTACAATCAAAGAGCATTCTGAACCCCACCAACGATGGAATTGAACCAAACTTGGCACACAGAACGCCCACGACCAACAGAAAATACTGGAAGGGTTTGGTGGGCATTGACCTTGAGTTTTGGAGTTGTAGTTCACCTCCATCCAGAGAGCACTGTGGACTCAAACAATGATGGATCTGGACGGGACCCAAGTCTAAACACAGTGCCCCATAGACCTAGCTTGGAGGCCATTGATGCGATGTTTTCTATCACTACGTGCACAAAGTTTGTGTACATTGATGCATCGGAAAGCAAAGCCCTCCAAGTAGACCATCTTGGAGGACTTTTTGGCTTTTTTCCGGTTAATTGGGAGGATTTTTAGATTTTCACAGGAATGGGATGGATGGGGTTCGCAAGGGATGCCCAACAACTCAAATGAGCAAAGTGCCCTGTAGTTTGGTGTGGTGTTTCCATACAACGGCAGAGATCCTCCATTGGAAACCGACCGCCATAGATATACACTTATGTTCTGAACGAAGAAAGAAGGAAAAAGGAAAAGAAGGATGAGATGGAGAAGGAGAAGGGAGAAAAGGAGGAGAAGGAAAGGAGAAGAAGAGGAAGAAAAGGAAGGAAGAAAAGGAGAAGGAGGAAAAGGAGGAGAAGGAAAGGAGAAGGGGAAGGAGAAAAAAAGGAAGTGGAGAAGGAGAAGGAAGGAAAGGGGAAGGAAAGGGGAAGGAGAAGGAGAAAAAAGGAAGTGTGGAGAAAGAGAAGGAAGGAAAGGGGAAGGAAAGGGGAAGGAGAAGGAAGAAAAGGAGGAGAAGGAAAGGGGAAGGAGAAGGAGAAAAAAGGAACGGGAGAAGGATTATATTATTAGCATTTGTGAGCCATAACCAGGTAATATTAGTATTATTATTAGCAATATTACATGTAATATAAAGGAAAGAATGAGAAAGAAAGAGAAAGAAGAAAAAGAGGACAAGGAGAAGGAAAGAAGAAGAATAAGAAGTAAGAAAAGGAAGAGAAGGAAAGGGGAAGGAAGAAAAGGAGGAGAAGGAAAGGGGAAGAAAAGGAGAAGGAAAGAAGGAGAAGGAAAAGAAGAGAAGGAAAGGGGAAGGAGAAAGAGAAAGAAGAAAAGGAGGACAAGGAGAAGGAAAGAAGAAGAATAAGGTATAAGAAAAGAGAAGGAAAGGGGAAGGAGGGGAAGGAAAAAAGGAGGAGAAGGAAGAAGAGGAAAAGAGAAAAGGAGGAGAAGGAAAGGGGAAGGAGAAGAAGAAAAAAGGAGGAGGAGGAGGAGGAGGAGGAGGAGGAGGAAGGAAAGGAGGAGAAGCAAAAGAGAAGGAGAAGGAAGAAAAAGAGGAGGGAAAGAAAGAAGAAGGAAGGAAAGGAAGGAGAAGGAGAAGGAAAGAAGAAAAAGAAGTAAGAAAAAGAAGAGAAGGAGAGGGGAAGGAGGGGAAGGAAGAAAAGTAGGGGAAGGAAAGGGGAAGCAGAAGGAAGAAAGGGAAGAGAAGGAAAGGGGAAGGAGAAGGAGAAAAAGGAAGTGGAGAAGGAGAAGGAAGGAAAGGAGGAGAAGGGAAGTGGAAGGAGAAGGAAGAAGAGAAGGAGAAGGAAAGATGAAGAAGGAAAACGAAGAAAAGTAGAAGGAAAGGGGAAGGTGAGGGAAAGGGGAAGGAGAAGGAGAAAAAAAGAAGAGAAGAAAGGAAAGGAGGAGAAGGAGAAGGAAAGAAGAAGGAGAAGGAAGAATGGGAAGTATATATATGTATATACATGTGTGTATATATATGTATATACATGCATCTCTCTGTGTGCATATGTATATACACACACATACAAAAAAATGAGAAGGAGAAAGAAAAGGAAGTGAAGGGGAAGAAAGAAGAAAAATGAGAAGAAAGGAAAAGAAGAAGGGAAGGAGGAGAAGGAAAGAAGGAGGGAGAAGGAGAAGAAAAGGGAGAAGAAGGAAAAGGAGGAGAAGGAGAAGAAAAGGAAGAAAAGTAGGAGAAGGAAAGGGGAAGGTGAGGGAAAGGGGAAGGAGAAGGAGAAAAAAAAGGAAGAGGAAGAAGGAAAGGAGGAGAAGGAAGGAAAGGAGGGGAAGGAAAGGGGAAGGAGAAAGAAGAAAAGGAGGAGAAAGAGAAGGAAAGAAGAAGGAGAAGGAAGAAAGAAAAGGAAGAGAGGGGGAAGAAAGAAGAAAAATAAGAAGGAAGAAAAGGAAAAGAATGAAGGTGAAGGAGGAGAAGGAAGAAAAGGAGGAGAAGGAGAAGAAAAGGGGAAGAAAGAAAAGGAGGAGAAGGAGAAGGAGAAGAAAAGGAAGAAAAGTAGGAGAAGGAAAGGGGAAGGTGAGGGAAAGGGGAAGGAGAAGGAGAAAAAAAAGGAAGAGGAAGAAGGAAAGGAGGAGAAGGAAGGAAAGGAGGGGAAGGAAAGGGGAAGGAGAAAGAAGAAAAGGAGGAGAAAGAGAAGGAAAGAAGAAGGAGAAGGAAGAAAGAAAAGGAAGAGAGGGGGAAGAAAGAAGAAAAATAAGAAGGAAGAAAAGGAAAAGAATGAAGGTGAAGGAGGAGAAGGAAGAAAAGGAGGAGAAGGAGAAGAAAAGGGGAAGGAGAAAGAGAAGAAAAGAAGGAGGAGGAGAAGGAAGATGGTGCCAGTCCATGGCACACTGCAGAAAGAAGCCCTGCTGGTTTGCCACACTCAGGCGTGCATCTACACTGTAGGATTAATGCAGTTTGACACCACCTTAATTGCCAAGACTCCAAGCTTTGCAACTACGCAAGTTGTAGTTTTAGAAGGCCGTGGAGCTCCACCCGTGCCCTGGGCTTACCCGACATTTCCGCCCGTCCACCGTCTCCTCCTCGAAGCTCTCCCCGATCTTGAAGTTGATCTCGGTGGTGCGGACTGTGGTGGAGGTCTTGATGTAGAACTGGTCCCCATCTTGACGGATCTCCACATGCGGCTTGGAGGCCGCAGCCACGGCCACTTTCCGGAGCATGGCATTGACCCCTGGGAGGAAGAGAAACCACGGCACGGACATGTCACGCCAAGCCTACAGTAAGGTCAAGCTGTCTGGTACTCGTGGTCATGCGATGGTGATGTTCTCCAAAGGTTAAAGAGGACATTGGTTTGAAAAGTGGCCAAATCCCACTGTCATTGGGTTCAATGGATGCCTATCTAGATGGGGATCAATATAGTTATATATATAGAATTCTTATTGTTTTCTCCATCTATATACACATCCATCTATCCTATATATGTGTGTGTATGTATGTGTGTTATATACATACATCTCTCTCTATGTGTCTGTATCAATCAATCAATCAATCTGTGCACACACAGATGTGCATAGTATATGTTATATACATACATCTCTCTCTATGTCTGTGTGTATATATATATATATATATATATATATACAGCTCTGTGTGCATATGTATAAATACACACATACACACAGATGTGCACAGTATATATGTGCATATATGTGTGTTATTTACATACACCTCTCTCTATGTGTGTGTATATATGTGTATATATATACATACATCTCTGTGTGCATGTATATACACACACACATACAAACAGATGTGCACAGTATATGTGTGCATATATGTGTGTGTTATATACATATATCTGTGTGTGCATATATATGCGTATATGTACATACATCTCTATGTGTATGTATACACAGAGATGTGCACAGTATATGTGTGCATATATGTGTGCGTTATATACATACATCTCTCTCTATGTGTGTATGTATATACATACATCTCTCTGTGTGCATATGTATAAATACACACAAACACACAGATGTGCACAGTATATATGTGCATATATGTGTGTGTTATTTACATACACCTCTCTCCGTATGTGTGTGTATATATGTGTACATGTATATACATACATCTCTGTGTGTATGCATATATACACACACATACAAACAGATGTGCACAGTATAGTCTATATCATATATCTACGGACACTTGTATCTGTATTCATCATTATGTATGTGTGTGTATGTATATATGTGTGTGTGTACATGGTATCTATATATATAATATATCAGATATGTTATGTATGCATCTGATATGTGATATCACTCTTGTGTGTGTGTATGTGTGTATATATATATGTGTGTGTGTGTTATATACATACATCTGTGTGTATATATATGTGTGTGTGTATATGTATATACATACATCTCTGTGGGTATGTATATATACACACACACATACACGCACAGATGTGCACAGTGTATGTGTGCATATAATATATAGTATCTTCCCTGTTGAAACTAGTGAATCTATATATGGCTCGCAACTATTATACAGCCAGGACTAACCAACGAAAATATTAACATTCAGATTAGTGTTTCTCATATGAATAAATAACTCATACTATAACATATGTTATTAATATATCAGATATGTCATTGCGTATACATCCGATATGTGATATCTTAGCACTGATAATTTACACAATACGATGCATCGTATATTATGTGCCGTTAAACATTAATGTTCAGATGTGAAAATTTCACCTTTCTAAAGCAGTATATAGACACAATATATATATATATACACACGCACACACACATATATATACACATACACACACATATATATACACACACACACACAAGAGTGATATAACATATCAGATGCATACATAACATATCTGATATATTATATATTTAGATACCATGTACACACACACATATATACATACACACATACATACATACATAATGATGAATACAGATACAAGTGTCTGTAGGTATATGATATAGACTATATCTATCTATACACATGCATGCACATATAAGAGTGAATCCATGTACAAATGTGTATCTCTGATTATAATAAATAAATGTGCACATACACCACATACACACACATACATATACACACACTTCCTAAAGTGGTATATAGATACTATACACACACACACACACACACACAATGATGAATACAGATACAAATGTCTGTAGGTATATATTATAGACTATAGCTATACACACATGTGCACATACAAGTGAATACATGTACAATTGATTATCTCTGTGTATGCATTATATATATATATATATATATATATATATATATATATATATATGCATACACAGAGATAATCAATTGTATATGTATGTTATATATATATATGCATATACATATACATATGCATATACATATAATGCATATACAGAGATTATATACAATATATATATATATATATGCACATATACCCCGCTCTCTCTATGTGTATGTGTGTGTAGGTTGTATATACAATTGATTATCTCTGTGTATGCATTATATATATATATATATATATATACACACACACACACACACACACACATATACATATGCATATACATATAATGCATATATATACAATATATATATATATATATGCACATATACCCCGCTCTCTCTATGTGTATGTGTGTGTAGGTTGTATATACAATTGATTATCTCTGTGTATGCATTATATATATATATATATATATATATATATATATATATATATACACACACACACACACACACACACACATATATATATACACACATATATATATACACACACACATATACATATGCATATACATATAATGCATATACAGAGATTATTTATATATATATATGCACATATACCCCGCTCTCTCTATGTGTATGTGTGTGTATACATACACACACACATATACACACACACATCATATTTCTTCAATTCTAAGACACCATCAATTGTAAGAAACATGCTAGTATTTTTATTACCACCGATTGTTAAAAAAAAGCTTTATTTATATATGAAAAATGCACCTGCGATTCTAAGACACACTCCAGTCTTAAAGATATTTATATGGAAGGGAAAATGCGCATTAGAATTGAGGAAATACAGTTATATCTTTATTTGAGGGACCTGATGTGTGTAAAGACACACTCCAGTCATAGAGGTGTTTATATGAGGGAGGAAAGTGCGCATTAGAATTGAGGAAATGCAGCTATATCTTTATTTGAGGGACCCGATGTGTGCAAAGACACACTCCAGTCATGGAGATGTTTATCTGGGATGGGAAAATGCGCATTAGAATTGAGGAAATAGAATCATAGAATCCTAGAATCAAAGAGTTGGAAGAGACTTCATGGGCCATCCAGTTCAACCCCATTCTGCCAAGAAGCAGGAATATTGCATTCAAATCACCCCTGACAGATGGCCATCCAGCCTCTGTTTAAAAGCTTCCAAAGAAGGAGCCTCCACTACATTCCGGAGCAGAGAGTTCCACTGCTGAACGGCTCTCACAGTCAGGAAGTTCTTCTTCATGTTCAGATGGAATCTCCAAATAAATACAGCTATATATTTATTTGAGGGACCTGATGTGTGTAAAGATACACTCCAGTCATTGAGATGTTTATATGAGAGGAAAAAGTAAATACACACTCCAGTCATAGAAGTGTTTATATGAGAGAGGAAAGTGTGCATTAGAATTGAGGAAATGCAGCTATATCTTTATTTGAGGGACCCAATGTGTGTAAAGACACACTCCAGTCATAGGGATGTTTATATGAGGGAGGAAAGTGTGCATTAGAATTGAGGAAATACAGATATATCTTTATTTGAGGGACCCAATGTGTGTAAAGACACACTCCAGTCATAGGGATGTTTATATGAGGGAGGAAAGTGTGCATTAGAATTGAGGAAATGCAGCTATATCTTTATTTGAGGGACCCAATGTGTGTAAAGACACACTCCAGTCATAGGGATGTTTATATGAGGGAGGAAAGTGTGCATTAGAATTGAGGAAATGCAGCTATATCTTTATTTGAGGGACCCAATGTGTGTAAAGACACACTCCAGTCATAGGGATGTTTATATGAGGGAGGAAAGTGTGCATTAGAATTGAGGAAATACAGATATATCTTTATTTGAGGGACCCAATGTGTGTAAAGACACACTCCAGTCATAGGGATGTTTATATGAGGGAGGAAAGTGTGCATTAGAATTGAGGAAATGCAGCTATATCTTTATTTGAGGGACCCAATGTGTGTAAAGACACACTCCAGTCATAGGGATGTTTATATGAGAGAGGAAAGTGTGCATTAGAATTGAGGAAATGCAGCTATATCTTTATTTGAGGGACCCAATGTGTGTAAAGACACACTCCAGTCATAGGGATGTTTATATGAGAGAGGAAAGTGTGCATTAGAATTGAGGAAATGCAGCTATATCTTTATTTGAGGGACCCAATGTGTGTAAAGACACACTCCAGTCATAGGGATGTTCATATGAGGGAGGAAAGTGTGCATTAGAATTGAGGAAATGCAGCTATATCTTTATTTGAGGGACCCAGTGTGTGTAAAAACACACTCCAGTCATAGAGATGTTTATATGAGAGAGGAAAGTGTAAAGACACAGTCCATAGAGATGTTTATATGAAGGAGGAAAGTGCGCATTAGATTTGAGGAAATACAGCTATATCTTTACTTAAGGCACCCGATATATGCAAAGACACAGTCCAGTCATAGAGATGTTTATATGAGAGAGGAAAGTGCGCATTAGAATTGAGGAAATACAGCTATATCTTTATTTGAGGCATACAATGTGTGTGAAGACACACTCCAGTCATAGGGATGTTTATATGAGAGAGGAAAGTGTAAAGACACACTCCAGTCATAGAGGTGTTTGCATGGGAGGGGAAAATGCGCATTAGAATTGAGGAAATACAGCTATATCTTTACTTAAGGCACCCGATATATGCAAAGACACAGTCCAGTCATAGAGATGTTTATATGAGAGAGGAAAGTGCGCATTAGAATTGAGGAAATACAGCTATATCTTTATTTGAGGCATACAATGTGTGTGAAGGTACACTCCAGTCATAGGGATGTTTATATGAAAGAGGAAAGTGCGCATTAGAATTGAGGAAATACAGCTATATCTTTACTTAAGGCACCCGATATGTGTAAAGGCACACTCCAGTCATAGAGGTGTTTATATGGTGTAGGGAACTATTTCAATTGGCAACCATAATCGGTGATTTTAAAAAGACAAACAGTCTCCGTGAGGTTTGAAGCAAAATCCATTGTATTGCAAGTGTGGCCACACAAGGACAAAACAGCCAGACAAGTCAAATGTCTGAAAAAGGCTGCCTGTGCCGTTTGATTTTTCATGAAACAGATTTTTCATGAAACAGATCCACCCTCTTCCAAACATCCTTTCAAAACATGTTCTTTCACCTTCTTCCACTCCGGCACCTTCAAAACTGATAACCTTCTACACACTTAGAGCAACATACATGTTATGGCTTCGGATTCTTGGATGTCATCCTGCCCTATATCCTTGAACTGCTCAGCATCCTATTTTCCAAATATTTTATCTCCCTTTCCTCTTGCTCCTTTTGTAGGCCAAAGGACAAAACTCTCTCTCAGGCTGGCATTTCAGCATTTCTAACATCTCTTCGCCTCCAATAAGCTCCATTAACCCCTTCAATGGGAGGGGGAAATGCGCATTAGAATTGAGGAAATACAACTATATCTTTATTTGAGGCACCCGATGAGTGTAAAGCCATAGAAATTGATCTGTAGGGCAGTTAGATTGGTACTGTCTTCAAGGCATTGGAGCCCATGGGTTTTTGCATCCAATGGCACCTTAGACTCAGGAGTCAATCTATAGGGGTCTATTAAATCATAGAATCATAGAATCAAAGAGTTGGAAGAGACCTCACGGGCCATCCAGTCCAACCCCATTCTGCCAAGAAGCAAGAATATTGCATTCAAATCACCCCTGACAGATGGCCATCCAGCCTCTGTTTAAAAGCTTCCAAAGAAGGAGCCTCCACCACACTCCGGGGCAGAGAGTTCCACTGCTGAACGGCTCTCACAGTCAGGAAGTTCTTCCTCATGTTCAGATGGAATCTCCTCTCTTGTAGTTTGAAGCCATTGTTCCGCATCCTAGTCTCCAGGGAAGCAGAAAACAAGCTTGCTCCCTCCTCCCTGTGGCTTCCTCTCACATATTTATACATGGCTATCATATCCCTTCTCAGCCTTCTCTTCTTCAGGCTAAACATGCCCAGCTCCTTAAGCCGCTCCTCATAGGGCTTGTTCTCCAGACCCTTGATCATTTTAGTCGCCCTCCTCTGGACACATTCCAGCTTGTCAATATCTTTGAAAATGTTCTGTTACTGATTTGAAAGTGTTATCTTCTGTTTGATTGTATGATACATAGAATCAAAGAGTTGGAAGAGACCTCATGGGCCATCCGGTCCAACCCCATTCTGCCAAGAAGCAGGAATATTGCATTCAAATCACCCCTGACAGATGGCCATCCAGCCTCTGTTTAAAAGCTTCCAAAGAAGGAGCCTCCACCACACTCCGGGGCAGAGAGTTCCACTGCTGAACGGCTCTCACAGTCAGGAAGTTCTTCCTCATGTTCAGATGGAATCTCCTCTCTTGTAGTTTGAAGCCATTGTTCCATGTCCTAGTCTCCAGAAAACAAGCTTGCTCCCTCCTCCCTGTGGCTTCCTCTCTATTCCATCGTTGGTGGAGAATACTCTTTGATCCATCATTGTTTGAGTCCACAGTGCTCTCTGGATGTAGGTGAACTACAACTCTCAGACTCAAGGTCAATGCCCACCAAACTTTATGGGTGGGGGTCCCCACAACATGAGGAACTGTATTAAGGGGTCGCGGAATTAGGGAGGTTGATTAACACTGGTTTAATTAAAGGGAAGGATCAGGTGTTCATTTTGGAGCGTATGGTTTGTATATAAGAATCTGGTGAGAGCGAAGATGAGCTCCCTTTGTCAGCTCCAGCTCCCCATGCAGGCACATGAGAGAAGCCTCCTACAAGGATCGTAAAACATGGAATCATAGAATCAAAGAGTTGGAAGAGACCTCATGGGCCATCCGGTCCAACCCCTGCCAAGAAGCAGGAATATTGCATTTAAAGCATCCCGGACAGATGGCCATCCAGCCTCTGTTTAAAAGCTTCCAAAGAAGGAGCCTCCACCACACTCCGGGCAGAGAGTTCCACTGCTGAACGGCTCTCACAGTCAGGAAGTTCTTCCTCATGTTCAGATGGAATCTCCTCTCTTGTAGTTTGAAGCCATGGTTCCATTGGGTCCTAGTCTGCAGGGAAGCAGAAAACAAGCTTGCTCCCTCCTCCCTGTGGCTTCCTCTCACATATTTATACATGGCTATCATATCTCCTCTCAGCCTTCTCTTCTTCAGGCTAAACATGCCCAGCTCCTTAAGCCGCTCTCATAGGGCTTGTTCTCCAGACCCTTGATCATTTTAGTCGCCCTCCTCTGGACACATTCCAGCTTGTCAATATCTTTGAAAAATGTTCTGTTACTGATTTGAAAGTGTTATCTTCTGTTTGATTGTATGATACATAGAATCAAAGAGTTGGAAGAGACCTCATGGGCCATCCGGTCCAACCCCATTCTGCCAAGAAGCAGGAATATTGCATTCAAATAACCCCTGACAGATGGCCATCCAGCCTCTGTTTAAAAGCTTCCAAAGAAGGAGCCTCCACCACACTCCGGGGCAGAGAGTTCCACTGCTGAACGGCTCTCACAGTCAGGAAGTTCTTCCTCATGTTCAGGTGGACATGTTCTTCAAGGCGCTGGACCTCATTAAGCATCCCAAACTAAAACTCATGCCTTTGTCTGTGTTGATGCTTCCTAGGTGCACCCAAGATTTGCTCAAAGCCCAGAAGCTTAGTGCTTTGGTGTCCTGGTCCTTCCTCTGAGCTGCATCCTCCTTTGCTTGGCGGTCTCCCATCCAAGGGCTATCCAGGGCTTTCCCTGATTAGCAACCTTGATGGGACAGCACCAGATGCTTGGACAGGGTGCCTGCATGGGGTCCAACGCTTTGAAAACAAAGCCCAAAGCATTCTTCCCCTTCCCAACCCAATGCGTAAAACCTCGCGCGTCTTTACGCAAGGGCAAAACCAGCCAGGAATCATCGTCGTCTCCCCCAAAAGACCCCCTTTCTCCTTACCCAAGACTTTGAGCAGCTCGTCGAAATTCTCGCTGCTCTTCATCTTCCAAGTCCCGGCAAAGTTGGGCATGTCTGAGAAAAGGAGTGAGAGAGAGAAAGAGAGAAGGAGAGGTAGAAAGAGAAGAGGAAGAGGCGAATCTCTCCAAAGGCGCAGAGGAGGAAAGGCGAGCGTCCTTCCTCTTTGCTGGCCACGCACCTTGTGAGCTCGCCAAGCCACTGACAGTCAGTTCCCCCTCCCTCCCTCCTTCCTTCCTCTCTCTCTCTCTCTCTGCCCTCCCCCTTTGCCTCTCTCCTCCCTTCGCCCCAGGACTCCATCTATCCATCCATCTGCCTCTCCGCTGCCTATCCATCACTGCGCCCTGCCTCTCCAGAAGCACCTCATCCATCACTTGGGCTCCTCTCCTGCCACTCCTGGGCTTCCCTGGCTGGCAGGAGGTTGCCCACTCCCTCCTCCTTCGCCACAAACCCACTCTGCTTTGCCAGCTGGGGAGGCATCCATCCCAAACATCCACCCCCCTTTCCCCTTTCTTCTCTTCTGCCTTCTCTCCTCTAAAAGTTTTCCCAAACCAATGGGTGAGGCTGCACCAAAGCGTGCCAAGTTGGCTTTCAGTCAAGGCTGGGCAGGCAGATATTTTGCTGCTTGGGGTGGACAATAGAACTAGAGTGAGGCCCCTTCCACACTGCCCCTACATCCCAGGATCTGATCCCAGATTATCTGTTAATAATAATAATAATAATAATAATAATAAGGTTCGCAGCTTGGGCGTGATCCTGGATTAATCGCTGACCCTGGAACCCCAGGTTTCGGTGGTGGCCAGGGGAGCTTTTGCACAGTTAAAACTCGTGCTTGGGAAGTCTGATCTGGCCATGGTCGTCCATGCTCTGGTTACATCCCGAATAGAATACTGCAATGCTCTACGTGGGGCTGCCTTTGAAGACGGTTCGGAAACTTCAGCTAGTCCAACGGGCGGCAGCCAGATTACTAACTGGGGACATACAGGGAGCATACCACCCCCCTATTGTGCCAGCTCCACTGGCTGCCAGTCCATCTCCGAGCCCAATTCAAAGTGCTGGTTTTGACCTATAAAGCTCTATACGGTTCTGGCCCAGCTTACTTGTCCGAACGCATCCACCCCTACGTCCCATCTCGTAATCTAAGATCATCCGGGGAGGCCCTGCTCTCGCTCCCGTCAATTGCGCAAATGCGTCTGGCGGGGACGAGAGACAGGGCCTTCTCGGCTGTGGCCCCTCGCCTATGGAACACACTCCCAAATGAGGTAAGATCTGTTACTCCATTTGTATACCGCATTTATCAGCCTAAGACGGCGACTCAATGCGGTTTACAATAAAATGTGCAACACTGACAATATATAAAACAGACATACACAGACAACACACATATAGTCATCAACGCCTCAAATAGAATCAGATCCCGTTCTCACAGTCGTTTTACCGTTCCTTGTTCAGTATGCCGTCTTCCTGAGTTAGTTGTAATTGCATAATTATCTGAATGCCTGTTCATAGAGCCACGTCTTAACCCTCCTCCGAAACGCCAGCAACGAAGGGGCCTGCCTGATGTCCGCTGGTAGGGCATTCCATAGCCGAGGGGCCACCACCGAGAAGGCCCTGTCTCTCGTCCCCGCCAACCGCACTTGTGACGCTGGCGGGACCGAGAGCAGGGCCTCCCCGGACGATCTTAACGTCCTCGCCGGTTCATAGGTGGAGATGCGTTCAGAGAGGTAAGTGGGGCCGGAACCGTGTAGGGCTTTATAGGCTAAAGCCAGCACCTTGAATTGTGCTCGGTAGCAAATTGGCAGCCAGTGGAGCTGGCTCAACAGAGGAGTGGTGCTCCCTGAGTGCCGCTCCCGTTAGCAACCTGGCTGCCGAGCGCTGGACCATCTGAAGCTTCCGGGCAGTCTTCAAGGGCAACCCCACGTAGAGCGTAAGATCTGCTCCCTCCCTCCTGGTTTTTAGAAAGAAATTAAAATCATGGCTTTGGGATCAGGCCTTCGGACAGTAGATGTTTGTAGAGTTTAAAGGACATGGACTAGAATGACAATACGACTGGCGAGACTATTTTTATTATTGATTGTTTTAATGATTGCTTATGTACTGTCTAATTATGATTTATGTTTAATTGTGGTTCTATTATTGTGGTTGTTATGGTTTGGCATCGCGTCAGTGCCCAATGTATGGCACTGAAGTTTTGTCAGTTATGTGTAAACCGCTTTGAGTCCCCCCAGGGGTGAGAAAAGTGGTATAGTAATACTGTAAATAAATAAATAAATATTATTATTATTATTATTCAGACAGACAGAGTTTTGGAGCACAATACTCCTGACCTCATGATCATGTTAAAAAACAAAGTATGGATTTGTCCTATTTCCAACACACCTCACCTCTGAGGATGCTTGCCATAGATGCAGGCGAAACGTCAGGAGAAATGCCTCTAGAACATGGCCCTATAGCCCGAAAAAATCCACAAGAACCTAAAGTATGGATTGTTGATGTTGCAATCCCAGGTGACAGCAGGATTGAAGAAAAACAACTGGAAAAGCTGACACAATATGAGGATTTAAAAATCAAATATGTTGCAGTAGTGTATTCGGGATGTAACCAGAGCATGGACCTCCATGGCCAAGTCAGACGTCTCAAGGTACAGGTGCAGCTGGCGCATAAGTTTTAATTGTGCAAATGCTCCCCTGACCACTGCCAAAACCTGGGATTCCAGGCTCAGCGATGAATCCAACATAATAATAATAATTCTGGCAGCCCAATAATAAGCCATTAGAACCAATGCCATCAAAGCCAGAATTGAAAAGTTGACAACAGATCCCAAATGTAGACTCTGCAAGGAAGCAGATGAAACAATAGATCACATCCTGAGCTGCTGCAAGAAGATCACGCAGACAGACTACAAGCAGAGGCACCTGTTGTGTTTTATTGTAATTTTTGGGCTAGTCCCTTGTAAGGCGCCCCGAAATCCCCTTGGGAAGATGGAGGCGGGGTATAAAAATAAAGTATTATTATTATTATTATTATTATTATTATTATTATTATTATTATTTGAAACACAACAAGATTAGTACAGCAGACAAGATCACTCTGCTGGCTGTTGTATTGGATCACACGTCGGACCTTCCCAAGTGTCTAGGACTGTGTGATGTATCGGTGAATAATGCGTGCAGATCCCAGTAAGGTGGCCTTTTGCAGCTGGCAGATGGTAATTTTGTCAGCGCCGATTGTGTTTAAGTGCAGGCCAAGGTCTTTAGGCACTGCACCCAGTGTGCCGATCACCACTGGGACCACCTTTACTGATTTGTGCCAGATTTTGCAGTTCGATCTTTAAATCCTCATATCGTGTCAGCTTTTTCAGTTGTTTCTCTTCAATCTTGATGGAATTGCAACATCCACGATCCATACTTTGTTTTTTTAACACGATTGTGAGATCAGGAGTATTATGCTCCAAAACTCTGTCTGTCTGAATCCGGAAGTCCCAGAGGAGTTTGGCGTGTTCATTCTCTGTAACTTTTTCCGGCTTGTGATCCCACCAGTTCTTTGTCGCAGGCAGATGGTGATTTGTGGCACAAGTTCCAATGAATCATCTGAGCAACGGTGTTGTGCCTCTGCTTGTAGTCTGTCTGCGTGATCTTCTTGCAGCAGCTGAGGATGTGATCTATTGTTTCATCTGCTTCCTTGCAGAGTCTACATTGGGATCTATTATTTATTTATTTATTTATTTATTTATTAACTTTATTTATATACCGCTTTTCTCAGCCCTCGGGCGACTCAAAGCGGTGAACAACATCAATACAAAACATCACGAGACAAGTATAGGGCAATTAAAAACAATTGTAACATAAATCATTAAACATCCGTATAACAATCATTAGCGCCTCAACAGTAAAATCAGAATCCAGTCTCATCATCCATTATTCCGTATTCCTATGTTCAATTACACTGTTTAATCAAATGCTTGTTCGAACAGCCAGGTCTTCACTTTCCTCCGAAACGACAGCAGGGAGGGGGCCAATCTGATATCTGCAGGCAGGGCGTTCCACAGCCGAGGGGCCACCACTGAGAAGGCCCTATCTCTCGTCCCCGCCAAGCGTGCCTGTGATGCAGGCGGGACAGAGAGCAGGGCCTCCCCAGATGATCTTAGTGTCCTAGTTGGTTCATAGAAGGAGATGCATTCGGAGAGGTAAGTAGGGCCAGAACCGTTTAGGGCTTTATAGGCTAACGCCAGCACTTTGAATTGTGCCCGGTAGCAAATTGGCAGCCAGTGGAGCTGGCACAACAGAGGAGTTGTATGCTCCCTGAGTGCCGCTCCTGTTAGCAACCTGGCTGCCGAACGCTGGAGCATTTGAAGCTTCCGAGCAGTCTTCAAAGGCAACCCCACATAGAGAGCATTGCAGTAGTCTATATGGGATGTAACCAGAGCGTGGACTACCGTGGCCAAGTCAGACTTCCCAAGGTACGGGCATAGTTGGCGTGTATTAGTGTAACCCTGTCCAGCACAGGCTATAACCATAGAGCCATCCTGGAAGATCTAGAACATTCCTAGAAACTTGATCTCTGTGGTTCAAAATAGTAGCAATTTCCTGATTTGTGGTTCTGGGAGACAGGGCCTTCTTGGTGGCTGCAATGCACTCTCAAGAAAGGCTTGCTTGGCCCCGTTCTCTGCTCACTTTGAATGGCAAGCCAAGCCCTTCCACAATGGGGAAATGCGACAGGTGTCATCGGTTTCTGAATGGATGTTTTGAAGCGGATTGTTGCTTCGTGCTTCGGAAAACATTCGTATTACAAATTGCACGTAACGTGAGCCATGTGGGAGGAAAAGTGGGATATAAATGTTCATCAATTAATTAATACGTAAGAGGAAGGGGACGCGTTTGTCCGAGCTTGCGTGTCAGGCTCCCTTGTGACTCTACGCAGCGGGTAAAATGGGGCGGGGGAGAGAAAGAGAGACCCTTCTTCTTCCTCCCCGCCCCGTATTTTTAGCAGAAGGCCTTTCTTCTGGACGGATGCCCCAGATGCAAAAACCTAATGATGCAGGGACATTTTAATGAGGCTCTAATAGACAATACGAGGCGAGAGTGTGGAAATGCCCTTCCTTCCGCACCCGTCGGCTTACATTTCACCCATTGTCGTGTCGGGAGACCCGCTGTCAATTTAATTTGGGGGCAAAATTTACGGCCGGCCATTTGCGTTTCCAGATGTATCA